ACACAAACAAAAATAAATATTTTTTTTGCTCAGTATCCAACTCAAATTCAATGTCACAACAACAACAGCAACAGCTTTTACTGCCCACCAGCTGAGAAAAGGAACACGCTCAACACTTTAATTGCCAAGCTGCGCTCATAAAAGTCACAAATCTACTCTGCTGTTCAACGCGAAGGCGAAATATAGTTCCTGCATTCGTTGCATCGTTAACCTTCACCCGAGCATTGTTCGTCAGACAGGCAGTCAGTGCTGACTTTTACTTTGATGAGCACATAAATAAGCGATTTGATTTGTCTGGGTTGCATTCGTTCCGAGCATTCGTACGTTCGGCGTGAGATGCACTCATCACTCGCTAAGTACTTGAGTGCAGTGCGATTACATACACATATATATATATTTATATATTTATGTTTAACAGTGTAAGTTTGTAAATTAATGAGCGTTTGAAGTGTTACGACTTGGATGAGCGGTATGTGTGCGAAACAAGTCATTTTCGCATAAATTTTGAATTTGCGCATGCGCGCATGAACACCATAAATACTCGGGGCTTTTATTTATGTTCATGCATATTAGAACCTACTTTTTACTAAATGTTGGGTAAATAATAGCATTAGACAGTATTTCAATGTATTTGAGCGGACTACTGCGTCAGAGAAGTTGTTGTATAAAAGGTCGATTTGAACTTCCAAGCCTACATCTAGAAAAAAATTAAATTTAGACGGCAGTAAATATATCCGTTTGTGTTTTTACCTAGAAAAAAGTTAGGTTTAGGCATTTGGCAGAGAAGTCGTTTGTAAAAGGTTTAGTTGGAAGGTAAATCGAGTTTTACTGTGTTCAAGAGTCATGACCTTTTCAAGGCCTTATTATTCTCTTATTCTTTTTTACTATCCCTATATTACATGGTAAGAAAATAAGACAATGCCTCTCATGACATTTCTCCCATTTAATCTACAGAACCCTCTTAGAATCTTATTAGATCATATGGTCGTTTTCCGCTACTGAGGTGCGTTAGCATAATATTTAAACCTGAACAGGGTAAATAAAGTTTGCCGAAGACTCTATAAAAATATTTATAAATGAACTGATTCCATCTGCCGTTCGTCTGTATATACGCGAACTAGTCCCTCAGTTTTGAGATATCATCTGAAGTTTTGCACACGCCCCAAAGCGCTCATTTGTCCGAACCGCCGATATCGGAAGCTTTTATTTGACGAGATATCTTCAAGAAATTCGGCATTGTTTATTGTGCTAAGACAATGGTGCAAATTTCAACGAAATTGTTCCATTGATCGATTAAAGTTCTTGTTAGAAATCATTTGTATTTGTGAAGGTATTATAATAGGGACGAAGTTAACGTTTTTCTTGATTTAGATTAACTTTAAGACGACAATACTTTTAATGATCGATCACAAATAGATTTTGTTCGACAAAATATGTTGAATTTATCTTCTATATATGGTATATACAGGTTGGTTGAAAAGCGCCGAACGAAAATATAATGTTGGTACGAAATATATTTTTATTCAATATATTTCCCTTAACTTCAATACACTTATTCAATTATCCTCCAATAATTTTATGCCATCCTTATAATGACTTTCCGAAGCTCTACAGAATACTGTAATAGCTTGTTCATTCGACAAAAACGCTTTCACGAAGAAACTGTTTCAGGTGTCTGAAGAGGTAGCAGTCGCGGAGCCAAATATGGTGAATACGGTGGATGCTCAAGCAATTCCATTTAATTCGTTGAATTTTATCTGTTAAAGACCTTTGTGAGCAGTAGCATTGTCTTAGTGAAAAATATTTTTTGTGCTGCAAACCAGGTCTTTTCTCACGAACTTTTTCATCCAGCTGATCCAAAAGGCTGCAATAATATTCAGAGTTGATTGTTTTACCTTTCTGCAGATAATCAATCAACAAAATGCCTTTTGCCATCCAAAAACTGATGCCATAACCTTCTTTGCTGATCGTTCTGACTTCACTGCTTCGGAGCTGAATCACCAGTTTCATTCCACTGTAAACGTTCTCGTTTAAATTTAAGATCATGATGGTAGATCAAGTCTCATCCATAGTTTAAAACGACGCAGGAAATCGCTTTTATTCGACTTAAAACGCTCCAAATTGTGCTGAGAAATTTGTTTTCGATCCAGTTTTTGTTGAATTGTTAACGTGTGCGGCACTAACTTTCCAAACAGCTTTTTCATATGTCATTCCTCATGTAAAATATGAACTACTTATTCGTCTGAGATGCTTATGACATGAGCAATTTCACGCTTTGTCAAACTTGGATCTTCACTAACAAGATTATAAACTTGCTCAATGATTTCTGGTGTGGCTGTCATTTTTGGTCGTCCTTCGACCACATTTAAATTCACCAGCCCACAATACAACGGCGCATTTTAAAGGTGCGGACTTCTTATACAATAATTGTTCAAAAATTTCATTTGCTTTAAACTTTTCAAAACAAAAAATCGAATCACTGCGCGATATTCAAATTTTGTCATATTAAAAAAGTACTCTGACACGTCAAATTCAAATGGCTTGTAAACCAAGAATTAATTGACGGAATGACTTGTTACTTTGCATGTGTTCTCACGACAGATGTATCAACTTAAAAAAAAAAATTGGAGCTTGTAGTGCTATTTCTTGGTGAAACCAATCTAATATTCAACATCTATTCTCTAGGTTAGCCATTCTAATTCTCTTTTTTGAAATAAACAATTATTGAGGTTATGCTTATGGTCGAATAGCTTTAATAGAAAATTATTGCACGCTCAGGCATTGAACTAACAACTCCTTGAGTTATGATCACATGCTTAACTTTGTGGCGGCTCTTAAATCCCATATGCTTGAAAAACCTCGAACTTTATGTCAAAACAAACATTGCAAACATTCAATTCATTTATTTATGACTAAACGATTATGTCAGTATTAGCAATATTTGTTGTTTCCAAACAAAATGTTCTCAGGCATTTGCCAACAACTTGCGCTAATAAACTATTAATCAGAAGATGCGAAAAACTTCTCTGCTTTTAATGATCATTTGAAGGAAAAACAAAAACGATTTAATGCATATGCGGGTATACAAGACATTTATTATGGCCATAAAGCAGTAATTATATTGGAAACAAAACTGAAAAGTACAAAACATAAATCAAAATAAATTATAGTTAGTACTCAATATGTATGCATGTGTGTGTTCATTGCCCACGGATGTTTTGCTTTCCAATTCACACTGAAATTAAGATAATTATGAAAAAAAAATTTGCTATCTAGTTCTAATAAATCACCTATAGATGCGGGAAAGATATACATATGTAGCAGTATATGAGAAGGATCGCCAGAAAGTTTTGAAATAGTTGAGCCTTATATTTGCGGAGTTGAGAGTCTACCTAACCTACTTATTTACTAGATATCTATGAGCAGTCTCTTCTTACCGAAATGCTTTGGACAAATAACCAATGTTTTCTTTACACACATCTTTTAAAGCAAGCTCTTAAAGGCATGTATGTAGAAAATAGACTTCACTTATTAGAAGCTTGTCATATATTATATTATAATATTAGGCAATGTAGTCAGCTCTTCGATTCTTAACTTCCCATAGAGAGCTTCGTTAGGTTAATTCAGTATGTTTTAATGCGTTAGCTGAAGGAAGGTCGTTAGGTAACGTCGTTAAGAAAGTCGCATATTGCAATACTCAGTAATAAAATTCTTTTAAAATTGAGAATATATGTGATTCAAGTGAAGATTTTGAAAATCTTCGCTACATATTTATATATTATAGATACTTGTGAGGATACGCGGAAGGGTTAAAACATTTCTGCAAAGTAAAGTTTGAAAGTTAAAATCTCAGGAAAATCGAAAGAGACACGGTTGAGTTAAAACAGGTTAAAAACGAAAGTGTACCAAAAATCAATCTGGACTCCTAAATAATAGATGTTCTCTGACACAGTTATCCAGCGTAGGATCATGAACTTTGGATTTTGTGAATTTTAATCGAACGACGACCCACGGCGACTCATCATAAGCTTGGTTTTGTGGAATTCAGAAATTCCTTGTACATTCCATTCCATAACATTAAGAGATATTTTTGTGCTTTCGTGTGTGTGAAAATCTTTTCCATTTTGAGTTGGTTTACTAAGATTTACTTTTTTTGAACTTTTATATCGCTTGGATTTACGGCTATGAGCTAATCTCCAGAAAAGGAGAAATTCGCAGTTCAAATAAATGTTTGACTCCGTCAAGTTAGGAACTTGGCTTAGAGTTTACTGTAAGCCAATGCCCATCAGTATCCTTCATCAGTTTACAGCGTCAATGCTTTCTTGGTACCAGCCACAGATCATATTGTGAAAGGATATGTTATTTGATCATTAACTCTTTGGTTGCCTTTTAGGGCACATGAGTCTCGATGACCTCTAGAAAAATTGTTACTCATATTTTATTTAATTTTCAGCAATCTAATATCTCCGATCTCCATTTTTTTATGTATTGCTGATTTTTTTATTTCCGAAGTGTTTGGTCGGATGCACAAAATCTGATCCAAATATCTGTTCGATTTAAAGGTTGGCGATCTGTTACCAGAAGCCAATTGGTTATTTATATCACATGGAAACATCAAAGGACGTAAGCACCTCTATATCGTCAGCGCTTTAAGCTTTTATACAATGGTATTTCGAAGGCACTTGAAGACTGCTCAGCATTTGAACTCCATAAATACATAATCAATATTTTGTTTGAAATAAAGTTAAGTTGCCAGATTTTTTTTTTGGTTTCACATAAAACAAATTTACTTTATTTCGCAGAAAAGTACATATAGGCATAAAAAATTTATATACAAAAACAAAATCACAACACATGAAATTCGAAAAGTTTCAGTACAATAGGGTTGCCAGGTCGATATATGGATTTTACCACCAACCGCTGCCACCACCATAACCTCCCTTCCAACCGCCACCGCCGGAGCCACCCCATCCGCTTGAGCCACCCCATCCACCGGAGCCACCCCATCCACCGGAGCCACCCCATCCGCCACCACCGTGTCCACCGCCGCCATAACCACCACCACCATAACCGCCGCTGCTGCCCAGTGTAATCACTTTGATGACTTTCGGTGATGAATAACCACCACCGTAACCACCACCACCGTAACCACCACCGCCATAGCCACCACCGCCATAGCCACCACCGCCATAGCCGCCGCCACCCCAGCCACCTAGACTGGAACCACCGCCCCAACCGCTGCGTATATAACCGGCGGAAGCGACTGCCACGAGGGCGCACAGGACCACGAGGACCTTCATATTGTCAAACTTTGGCGATAACTTATGCTTGTAACTATAACCGTAACTGGAATTGCGTAAGGTTGCGCTGCGTTGGGTACACGAGTTGCTATAGCCGAATTTGCACTGATATCGACATGCAAATCGAAGCCGCTATTTATATTCGACCAAACATTTTTTGTTGGATTTGTTGTAGTTATTCTTTTTGAATGTCTACTTGCCGTTCTGTACACACACCCGCACACACACAAATACACTTACAACACTGTCGAAGCCTCTCATTAGCTAAGCTGACCAAGCGGCCAACCCGTCCGAAGATGAGCTGTGAGCAGAGCAATTTTAAACGGTGTATGAGTGTAGAGCATATTCGCACGTAGCGCGGTAGTAATAAGTACATACTTTGTGGCCGTTGTTATTGCTGTTATTTTTGGCATTACCAGAACGCTTGAGTGTGTTGGTGAACTATTAAACGATTAGCCAAGCATTGCTGAGCGACCACCACGGTCAACCACTTGGCCGCGCCACCGCAAACTAGCCAAAAGTCTGCGGCACACCACAAACACTCACACACGTATGCTGCACAGTGTAAACAGTGGCATTGCGCATGCGTGTGAGCCTTTATATGAGCTGTGCGCATACTGCGTCAGCCCTACGTGACAGTGCCAGCTAGTACCCGCCCCGGTGTATGTATGTGTGTCCAAAAGTAAATCACATTTCATGTGTTAATATACATATGTGTGTGTGTGTGTGTGTGTACGTGTGTATCTTCTGCAGTTCATGCACATAAAGTCACATGGTTAATGTCAACACTGACTGCTGACCGCAAAACCGGGCCTAGTGGCTGTGGCAGATGCGGCAAGCAAACCAGTTCTAGCTTTATTTACTACGCAATTTAGATTTGTTCACTTTTTGGGTGTGTTTTTGTTTATCGTACGTTATGTTGTGGCAGTTATGTGTGGCAACAAACTTCGTAAATACGCGAAATCTTGTAATTCATGACTCACTGCTGCGACAGTTGGCCGCCACCCGCCAGCCGGCAGTCAGTTAGCATACAAGTTGGAATTAATCACATTTAGTCGCCATCGGACCGCTCACTTTTTGGTGCTTCTTTATGTGACCCGGTAGGAAATAGTGGTATTTTTTTTTGAAAAGAGATATGAAATGAATTTTTATGAAACTTGAACTCTAAAGCCTTTCAAAAACGACTTGACATTTCGGTCGGGCCTTTATATAAAGACCTATAACCTATTTGATCAATTTCCTTTTAAGTCGTATAGACCCTTATCCACTAGGTCAGGTTAGGTTAAATCGTAAAGTAGATTCTGATGATGGATCTCACTTCGAGAGCTGTAAACGTTGGTCCTTTTGTGTTACCCAATACTCTTAAAAATGGATCACCACATTCTCATAGATTGACATCGCTTTTTGAGCTTACCAGAAATTTCTTAGAGCGGTCACTGTTTCAATTCCTTACTCCATACAGTCTTGTCAAAAAGTGTCTCACAAAATATTTAGCCGCACCGAGTGTGAAGCTAGGAGTCTAGCATTAGAGGACAACGGAATACCGACTCGATTCCAATAATTCCCAGCAAGCTCATCGGTGCTGCAGTTATAACGGTAATTTACGCTTGCACCTCTATTATGTATTTTTCCGAGTTTTTCATCCCATTTCTGGCCTGCGGTTCGAAAAACATTTGTGTTTATCGGAACAGGGATCAATGCAGAGGGGATGCAAGACCAGATCATAATGGTAATACTCACATAGAAGATTTGCAGTGGCCGCCTTACAAACTGCACATTAGTTAGACAATAAATAGCGGTGGGTTAGAGATCACATCCTGGATGGATATCGTTAATTCTTTAGTTTAATTGGAAATATTTGGGGTCTTTTGAGATTTCATATTAGATCTTTTAATAAAGATCAGGTAGTAGAGCTGCGCCGCTAGAAGGTTGTCAATGAAAATAAACAATTAGAGAACCCGACATCCAGACTAGTTACTGAGTTTTTTATATCCTGAAAAACTCTTCAAACTTTAATTAATTCTTACAGGGTCATTGCGAGCACACACAAATACATCTAGCTTATATATTAGTATATTTCCGCACTTACAAAGCTTAGTCTGAAATCATTATCTCACCTTAGGTTCCCATCAGGGCCATTTTCAACTACCCGCAGCTCCAAGAGTTACCGCTTAATTAAAAGCAATGCTTCGGTGTGGCAATTAAAAGCACGCACAGTGGTTCTTTTTTGCGTGTTTGGAAAGGAGGAACTGTGATTTTAAAATACAGGTTCGCTGGTTTAAACCTTTACATACATAAGCACATACAAACATACCTACACCTGTTTTTTTGTGGAAGTAAGTAAAATGTAAAACATAGGCAAAGGGTGCTGTTTCGATATTCACTTTTGCATGAACTATTCTGACAGTCAAGCCAAGTTAGTGTGGAACACTTATATTGTCTGCCAGCTTATTTACACTTCTGTATACATAATTATTTGAAATAAAAAATTATGAATTTAAAATATCTCGGTATGAAAGTTACTTTAAATATATGAGTTAGGACAATAGCTACTGCAAAAGAACTCGTTTGGGACCTAATAAAATTTTTATATATTTCAAACTGACGGCATTGTAAAAAAAAAGAACTAGGTCATAAAGGATATTCATTTCGAGGTGCCCTACTTTTTACGAACGTTAATTTTCGTAATAAAGTTGAACAATTTGTAAACGTTGTTCAGGCGTAAGTCTTTTCATGATAAAATGCCAAACAATACTGCAAAAAAATAATATGACAGCTTGACAAGATTCCCAAAAAAACTGTCAAACAAAAAGGCTATTGAAAAAAGGCTCTACATGGATCACCCGTTATTTCGAATTCCTAGTAAAGTAACAAGACAAACTAAATAAAATAGGTCAATAACACCTAGAAGAAACGTTGAAGACCCTATAAAGTATATATATAAATGATCAGCATGATAAGCAGCATATTAGTAGTGATGATATTTAGCTCCGCTGTATATATAGAACCGATCTAGCACTATAGCATACAGCCGAATTTTGCCAAGAATTATTGTCTAAGGCAATGGTAGAATCTTCGAATACATTATTGAAATCGGACCACTATAGATAACAGTCCCCAAAGCGTAAAATCTTGTATTGGGAAATATAATTGGAATTATTTTCTATTCCAACAATGCCTCAAACAACTCACTGTGCAGTCGTCTAACTATTAAAGCAGGGTAGCGGATGCGCATGTATACTTACTTATGTAATTACTTTATTTCAATTTCAAATCGAATTACGTACGAAGAGGCAAAGTGCTAAAATTGAGCAATTTTGCGGTTGTAAAATATGTGCGAACGCTTGACACCGTCGTTAGCGAGTGCGAGTGATTGCAACGCAGACGCACTTCTGCACTTCGCATTTCTGTGTTGACCAGCGCGGCGGCGCCGGCGACAGTAGCGAGTTATTAAGTACGCGTATTGGGTGTGTGACACACGTATTTGGACTAAATTGCAACATTTTCCGAAGCTGCGACATTCTAACTTGTTAATCAGCGGATAAACTTAAGCTGTAGCATACATGAAAATATTTATTTTGGACAAATAGTCGTTTAGACAAATAATAGTGGGGCGTTGGAGCACAGTGGCTTTTATGTTAGAATGAATGGAAATTATTAAAAAAAACATGTTAACTTCGGTGGCACCGATGCTCAGAATTAAAATTATTATTTGATCGGTTAGTTTGTATGGCAGCTATATGCTATAGTGATCCGATATCGCCAGTTCCATCAAATAAGCAGCTTCTTGTGGATAAAAGCACGTGTGCAAAATTTCATATCGATATCTCGAAAACTGAGGGACTACTAGTTTGCGTATATACACACAGTTTACTATGAACACAGACTTGCCCTTTGATGCCTTTGAAGAAGACACCAGTAGTCATTGTCACGCAGCACTGAAGATGGAAATCGGTTAGCATATAAGTAAATAAATTATGGAGGCGGTCGCAGAGCCGTTAAGACCGAACGCACTCTCTTCAGTGAATCCCCGACGCTTCAAAGTAGAGCTGCGGAATCAAAACAGGTTGCAATGTAACAATTCACACTGAAGTAAACTGTGCAAAATGGATTTGGTTGACAGATGCATTTTGTTTCTTTGACTCCACGGCAGAGACACCACTTCGCTTATTCCTCAAGGGCGTAGAAGTAAAAGTAACTTATGTAAATGTATATATCATATGTATGTAAAATATATGTATATTATATACATATAATAAATATATTTATATAAATATGTTATGTATAAAGAGAATTTTAAGAGTAAATCTTTTTATAGATGATGAGAGCGCAGTCAATACAAGATTTTCGATTATTTAATTTTTCGAAGATTCTAAATATAGTATAGATTCATCAATCTATTATTTTACATTACAAACAACTATAAATAATGACTCTATGATAGTTCTTTATTATACTCTTTTATTTTTTTCACCCATTATTAATGTTAATTAACAAATATTAAAGCAATCAGCAAAAGTAACAAAACAAGCTGGAAGAAGATTAATTGAAATAGTCTGAATAGTCTGTAGTATATACAATAGTCTAGGTTTTTGTTTTGTTTTGAGAAGAATTACATACATTTTAACTCTTTTGATGATAAACAAAAATTAAAAAATATTTCATGTTTCGATTGGCATCACTGTATATGTATGTATGTATGCTTATAAGCGATTCTTCTTTTAATGACTAATTACTTGGTAATTTATGTAACTAAACCTGTATCTAAATTATCTCATAAGATGCTCTTTTTCATTATTTTACATATATACATATGTACATATGTATGGTATATACTTCCTTATGTACGAGTAGATGCGATTATAAAGGTTCTTCAAACACACAAAACACTTTTTTCTCCTCAAGGTCAATCGTTAAGCGCAACAGTATAATTCGCCAATTAATTTTCTGTAAGTATCCACATCATAATAAAATTCTGGGTTATGCATTTGCATGTACATATATACATATGTATGTGGAACGATTTTATGACTGCACTGTGCATATAGTACAACACATATATATATGTATGTATAAATGTTGATAGAAAGATATGAAAATAAAAAAACAGATTAACCAATAATTTTCAATTTAAAATATTTACTCGTAAATGAAATCATTTTCGAACGTGAGCTTGGTTCGCTATGCATTTTTAATGGTCAATAGTTTTTAGCTTAGGCTGCAAACAGAGTAGAGACAATGACGAAAATAGTTAAGCAGATGACGCTGAAGCTGGCGGTACTGCTTTGTGAGCGAATTCATTAATTATTTTTATTTAATATAATTAGAAGAAATCAAACTTAAAAAATTTGCAAAAATATATATTCAAGAAGCATGTTGGAGCGACAACTCAATAACTCAATATATATAAAAACAGTGGTTTATAAAAAGAGTGACTGGTTTGGTAGTCTAAGCAGTAAGGTATATTTTTAGTCTAGCACTAAAAATGATCAAAGGGTTTTCCAATAATTTTTCTGAAAACTACTTTTTAGAGGTTTAAGAAACGGAAGATAGTTCTAAAAACAAGCTATCTAACTATCGAAGGAAAGTTTAAAGCTTCACACAAGACAAAAAAATATTAAAAGTTATTTCAAAAGCGGAAAACAAACAAATATTCGAGAGAACAACTTTTATCAAAGTTTTTTTCTAAAGTCACAGGTAATGGACAATTAAAATAAATTGAAATATTACCAAAAAGTTAATAAAGATGACTAATTTTCGTGGACCTAACGAAGCATATTCTACCTATTCAGGTTGAAAATAGAGATACGTAGTAATAAAAGATCTAACAGAGTTCTCTCTTTACCTCTCGTCTTGGTTGTTTTTAAGGTATTGGAACAAACTATTTTTCTAAAAACCTCTTAATTATAGATTTCAAGCGATTTGAACCGAACGCAAGTCAGAAACTCTTTTAATGGTTTGACATCGCCTTCCAGGGGTCAAAAAAAATATGTAAAAAACATTTAGTTTTATTTCATTTTGGCATCACACAATAAACCAGCTTAAGAAACTTCGCGATTGTAGAAAATTAACTTGACTAATTTTAAACTGATAACAGTGCACTTGAACTTGCGAAGTAAAGAAATCTCGAATGTATTTTTCAAATTACCAGTTCATAAAAATTATGATGTGTGCTTCAGTAAATGTCTATATATGTAATGAACAATAAATGTATTTGAATTTCTCACTAATTAGCTTAGGTCATGAACTAATTGTAAATTTACATATTATTAGGGTGTTTCTTATTAGCTTTGGCTTCAAAATGTCAAAATTGGTACAGGGACAAGACATTTTTGTATATATTAAATATATATTAAATAATAAGAAAACCTATTTAAAAATCTATAACCGCTAGTAGGTTTTAGGAACCTGAATAAAATACAGTTGACATTTTTTGATTTCGTTTTTTGTTATGATTTTGTCGCTATTTTGTTTAGACTTAAAACTTAAAAATACATGAAAAAACTATTTGGTAGTATTTTTCTTGATAATATATTAATTTTTCTGATAGACATTTTACAACAATCGAAAACATTATACTTTTAATGAAATAATTAATTTTTAATAATGTTTATTGCAACAATCGCAAAAAATATTATTTATTAAAAATGTCAAAACTTACACAACAGCGCCATCTAGCGTAATATTTAAGTAAGAATATTTATAGAAAATGATTTTTGCACACGAAAACAGATTCTCATGCAGCAACTTTTCAATGCGATTCCATAATTTTATTGAAGCTTACTATTAGGTGCGCAACTAAGTTCCCGCTGTTTGTAAATAGATGGCTCCAGCAGTTAGTGGTAATCGCTTTCGAATGTATTCAAAGCGTGATAAACCTAACCTAGACATTTGAAAAAGAAACTGCGTTTCCACATTTGTGACTTTGTTTATGTATCATACGCGTTTACTTTTAGTTGTGCGAATATGCCCGATATTTTTATTAGCGGAAGTGTTAACTTTCTTCTTTCAGTGAAAGAAATCGGCGGCTGAAGCACATTGGGAACCCCAAAAAGGTGCTCCAAAAAGGTGCTGTCCCAAGTGAAACGTCGTGCCATGATTGGTTTCGTCGTTTCAAAGACAGCGATTTCAATATTAACGACCGTCCGCGTGGAGGAAGGCCAAAAACCTTCGAAGACGGTGAATTGAAAACGTTGCTCAATGAGGATTTATGTCAAATGCAAGAAGAGCTTGCTTCAGCGTTGAGAGTCACCCGCCAAGCCATTTCAAAGCGACTACATGCCCTAGGGAATAAAATGTTGTATGACAACGCTCGGCTTCACGTTGCCAAACCCGTTAAAACCTACCTGTGAAGGCTCAAATGGGAAGTCCTATCCCAACTGCAATAGTCCCCAGATATTGCACCGTTCGTCTGGCTCAGTAGATGTTTCACTCACAAGAAGACGTCGAAAAATGGCTTGATTCTTGGATAGCATTACAAAATGAACAGTTTTACCGTAATGGTATTCAAGCTTTGCCAGAAAGATACGAAAAAGTTGTGACTAGCGTTGGGCAATACTTTAAATAAGTTATTTGTTACCATTTCCTTACAAAGCATTGCATTTTCATTTAAAAAAACAGCGAGAACTTAGTTGCACACCTAATAAATTTTTTTCTTTTTTGACATTTCACTACCGCTACCGACTCCAAATGTGCTTAAACAAGAAAAAATTTAAACTTTGGTTTCACCGCACTTTTTTCCGAACGTTCAGTTTGTATGTTAGAGAGCGATATCAAAAACTGTGGGATTAGTTCGCATATATACAGACAGACGGACGAACAGACAGGCGGGCATGGCTAAATCGACTCAGCTCATCACGCTGATCATTTATATATGATATATACTTTATAGGATCTCTGACATTTCCTTTTGGGTGTTACAAGCATCTCAACAAACTAAATATACCCTGTTTAAGGTATAAAAATACTAAGTCTATAAGCTCGAAATGCTTTTGAGATTGTGAATTTATAGGTGACAAGTTTCATTTACTTTTGGTTTCAGCAAATACATTTAAGCCTGTTTAACTGTTGGAGGCAACTAACCGAAACACTTTGCGATTTACAACTATTAACCGATTTGATTAATGTAATTGAGAAATATCGCCTTAGTCAAGCTAATTCAGTGGATCACTACTAACCAAAAAGTACCGGTTTGAAATCCCAGTCACTTGAAATTCTTCTTACGATGTTCCACAAGTTCATTTATTTCGGTGTTTTAACACACACCGTAACTTACTCTCATAAAGATAGTTACAAACATATAAATAAGCATATGTGTTAAGGCTTAAGTTTAGATAATTGCTTTTCTAGTTTAATACTTATTTTAATTTTCATTTAAATGCAATCGCTTGTAAGCAATAACAATGCTTTTTAGTAACTTCCGATCGTAAGCGCGAGCACAAAGTATGCGTCCAATAATCATAAAAGCTAAATAACTGCAATAAAAAAATCGCGTTAGCAAACTAGATTTTCTTAATCAAGTAAAGTAGCAAGCGCATACTTGAAAGGTTGCGGCCAGACGCCTTCAACGGTATCACCAACGCCTTCGCAGCAAAACACTCAAAAGAGATAAGAGAAGACGTTAAATTTCGCCAATATTCTTTACAACCTCATATTATATAATTAATGGGCGCCCATATGACACCGCTAAAATTTGTTTAAATAGCAACGATAATAAGTAGGTTTTATGCGATCTAACTTCTTGATAAAAAATCGCTCTGAACATATAAATCGGCGGCCAGGATGAGCGTTAGAATCATAAACGGTTTAAAGCTTGAGAACTTCACATAGAACTTCTAAGGAACTCGTGATTTTTTCTTTACAAAACAAATAAAAAAAAATGAAAGTCGTTCAGTTGTTGTTGGCAGTTGTTGTAATCAAGCAGTGTTTTGGCCAGTATTATTTGAATATAACTTTGTTTGATATTCTTAAAAGTGCCCAGCAAATCGCAACTGGACTCGCGGAATCCCAAGGCAATCAATTGACGGCGGATTATTATTTCAGATATACGACAAATGCAGTGCTTGGATTTCCAACGGTTTGGACCATTACTGCCGTGAACGCTATATGTGAGTAGAGAAGAATATTTTATGCAATAAAATTTTCGATAAGTTGCCACAATGGCAATAAGGTAGAACTACAGGAATGTGCTCAATTTGTTAAGGAGTTGGGGCACTGGAACTTTGTAGTCACAAGATGCGTATGAAATTCGAAAAATCGTAAGTTTTTACACGCTTGAAGTATACTTTAGGCCTGTCCTTAAACATTTTTAATTAGTGGAATAGTAATCAAATTTTACACCGTTACTCCCGCTCTAGTGCCGAAACATTTACGTCGGTCTGTCCAGATAGCTCGAGTATCTATAATTAACATCACCTGTCGTGGCCTTCGTGAAAAATATAACATCGAAGAGCCTTTTTTTTATATATATTATATTATAGTCATCGGAACTACTATAAAAGGAAACTCAAAAATGACAATTTCGTATGTGGACTCTTCTAAACTACTTTTAAACCCACAAATCAGTTAATAAACTAAACATTATATCGAAAGCATGTTTGAGCTGTTGGTGCAACTAAGCTTTCAAAAAAGACTACAAGACCAAAGACTTTCATTTACCTTTTTTGTAGATGGTTCAAAATTATGATAACTGTTCCGAAGAATGTCAGCCGATTTAACTAGTTCTGATTGCTTCCATTCTATCATATTCAATTTTCGCATTTTACAGGCTCGGCAGTTTTGAGCGAGGATGCCATCCACCCTAGCCCGGAGGATATACCAGACGTTGAAGACATTTCAATTCAGCTACGCACACCATGTAATGTAAGATCGTATCCAATAAAAGAACTGATCAGAATAGTGGACGATCCCGATTTCAATATCACCAAGAAAGTAGTTATCGCGTCATCAGGTTGGCTTACCAATGCCAACACATCGGATAATATGCTTCAGGGAATCGGCAAAGCATACCACTGTCGTGGCGATACAAATTTTTTGGTAAGAGAAAGAGAGTTGCAAAAATATTTTAACTGCTTTCATTTCAAAATCCGTTCCCATAATAGGGAATTGATGTGGGAGGCTATATACAAACGCTCTACACCTGGTCTTCGCTGAATACACAACGAATTGGCGAACTACTCGCAATTGCATTAGTGGATTTCGTAGAAGTTGTGCCGTTGGAAAATATTCATTTGATGGGCCACAGTTTGGGCGCACAAATCGTGGGAGAAACAGGACGACATTTTTCACGCCTAACCGGTAAAAAAATACCGCGTATCACCGGTTTCGATCCAGCCGGCCCGTGCTTTAATTATGGTGAAAGGCTGACGACGCTTTCGGATAGCGATGCCGCATTCGTTGATATCATCCACAGTGATCCCGGTATCGCCGGTCAGTCAGAGCCCACGGCGGATGCGGATTTTTTCGTTGGCGGCCGTTTTCCCATACAAAATGGTTGCACCGATGCATCTTGTTCGCATGAACGATCTTGGCAGTACTACATGGAGTCGGTGTATCCGGGTAACGAGTATGATTTTCCGGCTATACGTTGTACATCGCTCTTGCGTCTGGAGCAGGGACGTTGTGTGGGCGCTGAGTATCCGATGGGCATTGCGACACCGACAAATCTGCAGGGGTTATTCATACTAAGGGTAAACCCGATCGAACCATTTGGTATGAATGCTACATTGAGTTATACAAGTCCTCTATCGCCGTGCGGTGCGTGTATATTCCCTAATTTGAATTAATTTTACGAGTTACTATGACGTAATGCCTGCTTTGTGTTATTCAGTTTCTCATTAAATATTGCAGCACTTTCATAAAGATTTTTGTTTCGGAATATATATGAAGGCTTTTGCATCTTAAATGGGAAATTAATACTTTAGATACAGGAGTGGCTACTATGAGTGGAGGGTTCATCCCTATTTAAGGACTTATGAGGATTCCACTTGGTCAGTTGAACCCCGTAACGGAGATTATGAGGATTCTGCTGGAACAGTTGAAATGTCGGTTCTCTGTGAAGCTAAAACTCTTAGGTGTGGATCAAAAGACCCTCATATATCGACAAAGCGCTTTGAGCCTCTCGCGTACCTTTTGAGGCGACTAATATCGACTTCAGCCGATTCTACCAGGGCATTTTATTTCCCATGTATCCATCTTGCCTTCCTTCAGATGCTCATTCAAAGCCCAGTTTTTTATTTCCAGATCGCAAGAGGTCAACGAAGCTCCGATTCGTTGTCAATTTGATGATTGTGTTAGCTAATCGGCTGTACATATTTTAGGGGTTCCGGTATGGCAGATGAAATGTATATACCTATCTTTATGGAGGTCGCCTTGGACACATCCGACAAATAGATGATGCCACCTGTTCGAAACTAATTACGAACGACTCATGGATTTTATCTGATACTTTTTTAAGGCCGAAATGTACGGAAATTCATCATAGAATTGTGGGAGTTGACCGATATTAGTAAAAATTGTTTATTTAGTCTGTAACTGGTAACGAATACAGATGCAGCGGCTCTCATCTTTGAAGATTAATGATAATATTGGAATTGTTCTGGATCAAGCAAAATAAATGCAGACACAAATTATTACAATTTCGTTCGCATACATGTTTCAGTTGCAATTCTCACCAAGTTAACATTTACTTATTATTATATTATATATTATGTCATTACAAACACGAAAATTTAAAAACTATAAGCCGGCTTGATTTTTAGACGCTATTTATTTTCTCTTAAAGCAATCTGCTTCTAACTTCTTCACTTTTAACTCGATTTTTCGTGTTTCTATTATTTGTGGTCTTCATTTTTTCTAATATTACTTAAACGTGTAAAATATAGCAACAACAATAATTAATGTAACCGTCGCAGCGGAACCATCATTCATTCATTGAGTCATTGATGCAATCGTTGGCCAACTTACCCACTTTTCTCGTAGTTTTCGCGATGCAGCGAACCGAACCATTTGTGCGAAAATATTTTTATGACTTTACATTTATATTTAATTAGCAGGTATTACGCGTAAAGAAAATGGAATAAGTTAAAATTTTTAGGCAGTGCAATTTTTTTGTTAAATAATTGTAATAAATTTATTGTCGATAATGATTTATATATGAGTTTTGATTCATATAAAAACAAAGGATATACAAACCCTATTGAAAAGAGATGAGAGTGCAGCAATTTCTTCCTCCAAGAGATTAAGGGAGAGAGGGAAAAAACCGGAGGTCTTGCCCTGTCGGAATCTAGTGTGTCACAATTTTTAACAGGCTATAAAAAAATCATTTAAGAGAGATGGTAGTGAAAATTTACAGAAAGATAAGCCTGAAATTTTTGAAAACCTAAAGAACTTAACGGTTTAAGCAATCGAAGAGGGATAGAAGGTGATATATTTGACATGTTTTTTAGCTTTGTGAAAAAGGCCGTCCATAAGGCACAAGACCATTTCAAAATTGTGTTCATATCAGCCTAAGATCAAGTTCTTGTAAGGGAAACTTTTTTATTTGAAGAGATATCATCACGAAACTTGGCGCATATTATTGCTTAAGATAACCCTATAAACTCGAATTATATTGTTCAGATCAGACCACTATAGCATATAGCTGTCATACAAAGTGAACGATAAAAATCAAGTTCTTGTATGGAAAACTTTTTTATTTGAAGAGATATCATCACGAAATTTGGCACAGATTATTATCCAGGGCAGTGTTACAATTTCCGAACAAATGGTTCAAGTCGAACCACTATAACAAATAGCTGCCATACAAAGTAATCGATGAAAATCAAGCATTTGTACGATTATTTTTTGTTTTTGGCAAAATATCTTTACGAAATTTGACATAGAATATTACCCTAGGTTACCCTAAATCTCGGAATATATTGTTCAGATCAAACCATTATAGCATTTAGCTGCCATATAATGTGAACGATCAAAATCAAGTCAAAGACCTTTTTACACCACTTTATGCTAAAAGCAATGCACCTATTAAGAGTATCGTAGTTTCGGTGCAGTCGTTTTTCTTGTTTTTTCTATAAAAATCAATAGAACCACCCTAATAAATAGCGCCATTACTACGCGCACTATATGCGTCTCCTCTGAGAGCCAAATTTCACTTGAAGCATTTAGCTTGCATTTCTTTCCATTTTCACCAGATTTTCCATGCGTGGCAAAAAACGCTCAAACAAAAGCGATGCGGTAATACTTAATGATCGACAAGAAATATTGCTCAATTCTATAAAGAAAGAGAAAAAAAATAATAATTTAATGTAAAAAACTTGCTTTTACTGTTGCACATTGATTTTGCTTTTCTTTTAAGCTGCCACTTTCGTGCCCATCTGATGGTGCATCTGACTTGCGCCATTGTTGTTGTTGTTGCCACATGCCTGAAATTGCGTGTGTTGTTGTTGTGTGAGGTGGAAACATCACAATTGACTTAAACAATTAGTATACATGCTTGCGATAGAAGCAGTACAACAACAATAACTACTAAAACAACAACTTCTAGTCTATACATCACATACATGTATTTTTGGTTTTGGGACACCCGCTCTATGTTATTTATATTTATTGTTTTGTGGTTTGCGATTTCTGCTTTGCTACGATGCATATTCGATTGCCCACAATAAGTAGGTGCACGCCGCTTATGGCTTGTTGTAGACGTGCGCTAATGTGGCACTAATGCATCGTTGATGCTACGACTACAGCGCAAGTAAAAAAGTAGCTTCGCCGTAGACATGAACGTCATTGTGGTTGTTGTTTGATTTTGTTTTTGTGTTTGCCTGAATTTTCGTCTGCATGAAAATATACAGTGATGGGTATTGATATGTGACCACCCATGAAGTAAGAAATCTGAAGTGAAAAATTTAAATTAATTGAAAAAAATTTTGAAAAGTGTACTAGATTTTCCTAAATCCTCAAATCGATATACTTGTATGTCTCAGAAATGACCACTGCAAAGTTTTATGTTCCTACTTCTTTGCAGCTCAATAAAAAAATAGTCTTAGCGCATTCTTCTTGTGGATGATAAGGTTTAGTAGACGAAAAATCTTCAACCAAGCTCCACCTTAGCGCCGGCAGTCTCGGTATATCTTATAATTTTCATTAATATAATAATATATAAAAAAAAAAAAAAATAAAAAAATCGGGTTTACTTCGCAACTAGAACAGAATTTTATATTGGTAAAAGTATTACTTATGATATACATATATGATATTCAGACATGATCTAATATCTTAAAGCTCAGATATACATACTTTCAAAGTCGTATACATTTCAATGCGCACAACTGTATTTTGGCAGCGCAAATTATGAAATTAATATACATTTTAGCGCCCACTACTATTTCGACGAACACAACTGTGCACAACCATAAATGCATTTATATATATTACCGATTTTTTTATATTATATACATGTAAATATGTATGTATGTCAGTAGTTGCTCATATTGCATTAGCAAGCCTGCAGCTACTTGGCTTTGTCGCCTCTACTGGTTTGTACGAATTCATAATGGTTTGTTCATTGAATCGTGATTGTTGCATCGGTCGCGTGCAATCTTCCGCATCTGTGTACATAATCCAGCAAATGCGAATACATACAGACAGACATTCATAAACTGAACATCTGAACCGTACAAGGAAGCGCCGAGTCAGTTGCTGCTGGAGCATGGCGCTTGTGGCGGCCAGACAGGATTTGTGGTAAACACAATTCGTGTTATTGTGTCAACGAGTCGGTCGAGCCGAGCTGCTGGACAGGTGTGTTTACCATACATTGAATGCTCTTTTTTGCTTAATTTCTTCAACTCGCCTCCATCTCCATTTGGCTTGATTATCCATTCGATTTGCTACAATTAATATGCCGAATAAAATTTGTTCAGCTAATACACACACTCGCACTCGCATATATACAGTTATTTGCTAGTTGGTGTTGTTGCATGAGTTAGGCAATTTAAGGAAACTGTTAGGTGATCAAGCTTTCAGACTTTCAGACTTTCACTTTTCACTGCGCAAATGGTCGTGGAAGGATACTTTTTAAAGGACTAATGCCGAATTGTGGTCGCAGATAACGGGATTTTAACTGTATATATTACTGTTATGTTTGATCAGTTCTTCAGAGACCCACCATAGAAGACGTGAACCCCGTGAAATGTACCTAGAATGTCGCAAGCGTATTTCTTTATATATTGGATATTTTGGCGGAAATTCGCGTTAAAAAGCGAGTTTAAGCTTTAATATTATGAGCTCATGAAGTTCCATTAGCTGTTCTTAATAGCGTATTTATTCATTCTTGAGTTTTATTTTAATATTTCACACATACGAAGGAGAACTGTCAAGAACAACAGAAGTTCTTGCGAATTAGGGTTTCAATAGCATAAACTCGAAAAATAGTGTTTACAGCAAGTTAAAATAAATTTAATTTTTTATTACCATATAAGTTAAACTTCGAGTTTAGGGATAGTGTTTAATGCTAAATTCCAAAATAAACTCGAGTTAGTAACGCAATGTAAGCATTCAGTTAATAAAATAAAAATATTTTTTTTTTTTTAATTGGGGTTATGTTTTGAAAACGTCATATTAAAGTAGTTGTTAAGACAGAGTAGTCTTTAAGACAGAGTGAGATGCTTAAACGCTGCTTTTCGTTTACCTTCAGAAGGTTAAAGTCTTAGCTTTTATAAAGTTACAACAAAGATCTTAAGGCAATTGCTGATATAGTTAATCCGCTGATACTGTCCAAGCTATATATTTCATACATAAAAAAATTGTCAAAAATGTATCAATTGTTCTAGGATATTTAGAAGCATTTTGTAACAGAACCCTTGTTAAATATTATCAAGACCAATTTCCAAAAAAATTAACAAAGGTATAATCTTGGCCAAATAGAAAGTATATACCACGAAAAAAAATTTAAACAAATTTTAAGAAAGCTAAACTTTCCCAAATATTTCTCTTCTTTCACCGTCAACAACACCAATCAACCAAACAACCAATTCACCTATTGTAATATATTTATTGCACTCATTTAAAAACATCCAAATTTAATACTTTTTACACCAAAAAAAAAAAACACACATAAAAATTCGGTCATATAATACCCGAAAGGCTGTCACAAAAACAAGTTCAAACAACGGAGGAAATAGGTTAAGTTTTTCTGCCGAATTTGACATAAACATTTACCAAAATAACAGAAATTCAAAATGTTGTTAGAGCAGCTTTGGGACTGCTATCGTACGTCTGCGGTTGACTTGAATACACTCTGTGCCAAAAGTTACTAGAAATCGGGTTTTACTTTTTATTAGTTAAGTCCAGAAGGAAGTTCCTAGCTCCACATAACTAAGACTTTATACTTCCGATATCGCAAATAGGAAATTACTTTTTTCGACATGGAGTTTCGGTTTATTCTAAAATACTATGTTGTGGAGAATTTTAAGAATTTTTAATTCACTAGTCAGGTGTTTGTCAATAGTTATCGATAAAAAATGAATAGATCTGGCGATAAACAGTCATAACCTTGAAGCTGTAGGCAATGTATCTTGAATATATGTAATCATCTATCTTAGCAAAATTACAGATTTAAAAATCTTAAGTAGAATTATGTGATATAGTGAAAAGTAAAAACCGATCTGACGAAGCAAATTAAGATTTAATTAGTTAATATCTTTCGAATATATGATGCAAAAGTGTGGGACTTTGCGCAAGATTAATGGATTTTTACGCGATTTTAACTGTATATACGAGTATGTACGTATATAATGAAGAAATCATTATACTATTAGACGACGAAAGTTTCACTTGGTTTTTACAACCCGAAACAATTATGACGTTCTATTTTAATATTTCTAACTTATAAACAAATTTTGATACATAGAATTGTGTGAACCTTCGGAAATTCAAGATTTGAAGGATGAACTATTGTCTTCCTAGAAGATCAAAGATCTTCTATGGCAACTCTAGTTTGTATCGCAACATATTTCCAGTCAAAAAATGAGTACTTAAATTATAGAACAGCGAAAGAACCTGACAATAAGTGTTTCATACCCGAATCAAGATGGATTTTGGGTGGTCGAAATTTTGGTAGAATTGCCAAAATTAATTTCAGAGAAATTTCGTATGCCACTTTTGACAGAGTTTAGCTATTCATACGACTATAGGCGTATGGAAGTGTCTAACAGCGAATCGCCAATGTCGTCATAACACACAAGAAAAAGAAAAATCGATGCAGCTAAAGTGCAAATGCAAAGAAGTTGCACGCTCCCATATCTATTGGCCACTTTATGGCGCCAAAGCAACTCTCCGCTTTCCATACTATATAAACCGCATTGAGTTGGACGTGAGAAATTAGTTGGACGCCAGCATTACAACCGTTAGCAATAAAAACGAACAAAGAAAGTGTGCGAAAATCGCAAAAGTTTCAAATACAGAAATAAGAAAACCCGGTTCCATTAAAGAAAGCCAAATGTCTTTGCTGTTTGCCAAAATTTTCGGTTGCGCATTTGTGCTGACCATCAGCTGTGCGACATTTGCCGCTGCCTTACATGTGCCCTACAGCAACGACTTGGAAGTTCAAGGTATCCAATCGGCGATCTACAACGCTGGCCCACTGGGTAATCATGCTGGTCTCTTAAGTGCCGCCAAGGCCGTCAGCCAATTGCAGCTGCCCAAATTGAGTGAAACAGTGGAGCAGCATGACTTTAGCAGTGATGATGGTCACTCGGAGTCGCTGGGAGCGGCTGGTGATCACTTGGATCCAAAGCATTTTCCAGCTGATTATGCAGAGGATCATGGCGCCACCGCTGAAGAGTACGAAGAGGCCGAGGCTGCTGGCTCGGAACATTTCGAAGAGGTCGCACATGCCGATTTCGGTGGACATGAGTATTTGGATAAGCTGGACTTCCACGGCGATTATCACGATGACTATCATCAGCAGCCTGTGGTGGGCATTGATCATGGCAAAGGCGCTTTCAGCTACAGCACTCTGTACGAGCACAAGCACGATGAGCAGAAAGGCTTGTATTGAGTTCGTGTGGGTGTTGGCGAGTAGGAAAGAGGCGAGTGGATGTTGCTTGAGTTTTTTTTTTTGGTGTGTCCGTGTACTTTTCGGCGAATTTAAAGTAAAAAAAAGCGATCTGTGTGGTGAATTTGGGACAGTATTATTAGCCTTATTTTATACAAAATCCAGTTTATAATAATCGTAGTATGTAAATATATATTTTCGTGTTTTTTTAATAAAAAAAATATATAAAAACTAATACAGTTATGTGTGATTAAAACTTTTCTTCAATGAGAATGGATATTTTTTGTCTGCAAGCGTAAATTTCGCTTCCTCGACATAGTATCGAAATGAAAAAAAGATTCATAAAATTCATCCGAAGTTCGATAACTTGAACGACTCTGACTGCTATGTCATGCCGAGACTCGACACCGATTTGTAGAGGTAGCTAGGGGTGATTTAGGGTTTAGAGTTCAAGCGACGTCAAGTTAATGGCAAAGCGAGGTCAACTAAGGTCAAGCGCGAGGCGTCAGGGAATTTTTGAAGCGAGTTGCCACTTGCTTTTAAAAGAACTATTTATAAAAATGACTTGAAAAAATATATGTATATTAAAGAAAGTAACGGTTTTAGAAAATGGAGCAATGTTTTTAAGCCAAAATATTGAATAGTCTTGCCACATATTTTTATAAACAACAAAATGTGTAAAAAAAAGTTTGTTAAAATCACTCCACACTTATCTACCATAAGAAGTGCGATGATTGCCACTCGCTTTCTCGCCGCCCACATCACCAAAATCAAGATTATCACTAACATGCGTGACACCTGTACTGCTACTTATGATTTGTGTATGCAATCCTGTTGATAAAGGGGACCTACCCTCATCAAAAACACCACTAACATCGTTAACGCCAGCATGCGGTGAAGCGAAATGATACTGGTGATTGCTCACATCTGGCACGGCGATCAAATGAAAGTCCGGTTGATGACTTGCCGGAAACTCCAGCCATACTGTTTGTGCGGCAGGCAACTGATAACTGCCGGTGATCGGCCAGGGTTGCTCCAGCGTAGTCTCGTGTTGTTCCAAACCAAGGTTACCCGAAGTGGTACTACCCTCTTTTGATTTCGACAGTTGTAAGATGCTCGAAGTGATTTTTATAGCCGGACCGTAGTCTAGAAGTAATAAATTTTAAATAAACTAAAATATTTTACGAGTCTCCACAATCTATCCCACCATTCGGTGCACCACCACTTGGTCCGTGTCCTCGTTTGTCGCCTACTTGCTCGCCATTGTCGCGTAAAGTCGTGGCCTGCAACTCGGTGTCTATCAAAATGAGTAGAATCAAAAGCCATATTACTTCAAATTTATTCAGTTGATTTGTCATCATTTTGTGCACCGTTGCTTTGAAGTGGGTTTCGCCGTTTAAAAGAGTCTTTTGAAATTGTCACACTTATATACGAGTGACACTTCATTGCTAACATAACCTCAAATACAATTATCGCAAATATTCTTCATGATCAATTAAATAACGGATGTAATTTGTTGTGCTTCGACGCTTAATGAGCTTCTGTGCACCTTGGTGGTTCAGTTGCTTTGATTGTCACATACTGACCTAGCTACACAGAAGCGTGTTAACTAAGGGTAAATCATGTGTATTTAATTAAAGTAATTTAGGTTATGTTGTAGTAACTATATCGTTAGGGAAAAGGTAACATTTGGTGTGCTGATGTGTATAAAAGTAATATAAGCGACAGGGTAGATATATCTTATCATCTTAACATCTTAGACCTTTATACAAATGGTAAAAATCATTCATTCATTCATTGAGCTTGAAGAAAAATGTTTTTTATCTAAGAAGTCCATATCTTCTCTTTCTAAGGTCACAAGCTGGGTACTCAGTTTCTCAAAAACATTAACCATTTGGAGTATTAAAGTGTTTAGAAAGTCTGACTGAGTCAGTTATTTCGGCTGAAAATATAGACAAGAAGGAATCTAATTAGGTCTACTTAATATTTTCACTATTTAGTTGTTTTATCGCTCCGATTTCCATAGAATTTTTGTAGATTTCTTATACAAATAAGATGGAGTGAAGTTAGGATTTGAGTGAATTCGATTTTGAAACATTTTTCCTCTGCGGTAGCAAACCCTTTAGATATTTAAAACTCTTAGAATTCCGAATAAAATGAAAAGGAATGAAATTAGTAAAGGAAGAGCATCTAGCGTTAAAGAAAGAGACGACAAACAATGTTAAAAGTGGTATCATTCTAAGCCTACCATGTTTTACAATAGCCCTAATAGCTTTCAATATTTTTCACATGTGACGTAATTTATAAAAAGACTTTGAGAGCTACTTTCGTTCACATGTTGCCTAATGTCTAATAACCCTGATAAAAACAGAATCTGTCAGATTTTGTGGACTTGACTTCAACATTTTATAAAAATTAACACATGATCTCTGAGCTCTGATTGGTCTAGTCGCATCCTAAATCCCATGGAAATATCGTCGGTGTTCTCGGAAATATTTCACCAAAAACTCAATTCCAGCAAACTTTAGGTTATGTTTCTCAAGTTCAATATGCCTAGTTTGGATCGCTCTGAGAATGCGACCTTAGATTTGTATGTTAACCTTTCTCCGAAATTTTAAAGTTAATCAAAAATAAATATTAAAATCCCCAAGAAGCACTGCCCTGCAGAGAATGGAGTATCACTGTTGACAAAAGAATTAGCGAAAATTTTTTTTACCGCAGTTAGACCTAGCAATACATGCTTTAATTAGCAAGTAACTGATAACTTAGCCAAATCGATAATGTGAGCCGAAGATGTGTAAAGAAATACCAAAAAAGTGTCTTAAAAGCAGTTTCAAAAAGAATATCGAACTTTATTCGTAAGCAAACAATCTTCAAGAACACAGCAGTTTGGTATGACACAGACAATTTGAGTAAATAAGACTATAGAATATAAAATTATTAACGGTTTTTGACTAAAAAGCTATCGCTTCCAATTGGCTAACAACCAATCTTCTCCCAGATACCACCGCTCTTGTAGCCATTATTCCAACCAGTCGACGAACTGCTGCTGCTACTCCAACCAGCTTGTTGCGCCGGCTGTGGAAGGGGCTGTGGTAGAGGTTGTGGTGGTGGTGGACCATAGCTTTGAGCTGGGACGCCATTATAATCGCCTTGCTGTCCGTTACTATTCTCATCGACGATAATCTTGATGGTTTTCACGATTTCCGCTGATTGGGCAGGTGGAGCAATGGGCTGTGGTGCAGGTGGCTGCAGCACAACTGTGGGTGGTTGATAGACTTGTACGGGTTGTGGTGCCGGGATTACGCGAACGACGGGACGTGGTGCAGGTGCCGAAATGTAAGTGGGTTGAACGGGTACTTGCACGGGCACGGGAGCTGGTGGTGCTTGGATCTGAATTGGAATGGACTGTGGCGCAGACTGTCTGTATTCATAAGTCGGGGCAACATTTGTTGTATATTGGATGGGCTGAGGTGCTGGTGCCGGTGCCGAAGCTACTTGTACAACAGGTTGTGGTGCGGGCGCTGAGTAATAAGTAGTTTGGACGGGTGCTGGCGCTGGCGCGGCTTGTACTACTGCACGTGTCGGAGCTGGAATCGGAGTCCAACCACCAGTGGAGTAACCACCACTAGAGGAACCCCCACTTGAGTAACCGCCACTAGTGTAACCCCCACTTGTGTAACCACTGGCATAATTCGATGAAGTGCCCACGTTCTCATTGGGTACAATGACTTTGATGATGCGCACAACTTGTTCCCCGCCATCCCCACCGCTGTAACCACCACCGTTGCTGTAACCACCGCCGTTGCTGTAACCACCGCCGTTGCTGTAACCACCGTAATTGTAGTTGCCAGCATATGACTGACGTCCATAACCATAACCGCCACCATAGCCGCCACCGTAACCGCCATTGTAAACGGGACGGTTCTGCTGGGCGTAGTAGCCACCATTGTAGTTGCCGCTGCCATAACCGCCACCATAACCGCCACCGCTACCGCCGCTGTTGCCACCATCGCCGCCGCCGATTAGATTTCTACCCAAACCCAAGAGGGCCAACTTGGCGCCCAGGAGCGCATGTGTGGGTGGCGCCAGTGTGGCCAGGACACAAACCGCAATTATCAAGCACAATTTCATCGTTCCGCAGTCAATTATATAATGGTTGATCGTATCGAATTTAAACCGAGTAATGAGACGGAAAATATTAGATGATCAGCTAATACCGAACTAACCGTGTACCAAACTCGTTGTGAACTGTTAAAATCTCTTTGAGTGGCGTACAAATTTATAGGCCAATATGTCTGAGCTAGCCCAGCTTAACACATTCGTAACTACTATGTGCTATATTTCTCATACATAAAAAAATTTTTGGAATCTGCAGGTGCCCATGACGGTAATGAATAGTTTAACTAGCAATTCTTGAGTACCAACAAATTTTCTTCACCGCCCACGCTTCGGCAACCCCTTAGCCTAGTTAAGTGCGGTGCGCCAGCGCGTTAATCTCAAGCGACAGGTAGTTTGCACTTCTCCCTCAACACACGATCGCACACATACGTACGCGCTAATATATTTTAGCAAGCGTAGCCTAAAAGCCTTCTTCCGCTGCCAAACTTGGTAAATGCTCGATCTGTGATCGGTGATCTGCGCTCTAAAATGATGTTTGCTAAATCTATACAATAAGTACACACGCTGAGGTTTACTCAGAGTGCTCAAAGGTATGTAGACATACAGTGGTGGCGATTAAATTAATTTGAAATTTAATTCTAACAAAACTTTCCAACTTAAATATCAAGAAGTTTACAATTTAGTTAATAATATAAGCAAAATTATTTGAATAAAAAAAAAATTGTGTTCTCATCTAAGCTTTATTTATGAAAAAGTGGTAACCCTGGACAACAAAGTTGTCAAAAATTTTTCACACTTGAAGTTTTTAAATTGAAATCATAGTACAGAGCAAATTAAAATATTTTGCGTAAAAAACTAAATGGTAACCCTATAAAATGTTAACAGAAAATTGTTAGAAAATACTGTGTTAACCAATTATTTTTACACCCTGAATCGGGCACCATAAGTTTACCGCAAAGTTTGTAACTACCATAAGGAAATATCGGAAACCCTATAAAGTATATTATAAATGATCAGCTTGACAAGCTGAGTCCATTTAGCTATCCGTCCCTCAGTCCGTCTGTCAGGCAACACAGCGATGTCTGAGCTTATTGCTCAGATCGATTAGATGGCTGATTATATGGAAAATATACGATTTTTTTTCTAATTAAAAATTTAACGTTGAAAGTAGTGGCAATCCTAATAATTTTTATTGTGGAAATTGGTTGCTTTATTATTACAAACTTTTCACAAAAGTCACAAAATTTCTAATAAAACGTTTTTGTAAAAAAAATTTAAATGGCAACTCTATAAAAAAATGTGTATAAAGAAAATTATCTTTTAGAGTGTAGAGTTAATCTGCTATAAAATTATTATTGTGACCGCAACAAAATAACAAAGCTGTTTGTACATTTTACTCATTGTATATATATTATATTTTTCCCTTGAAATTTTGATGGTAATATTTTTTTTCTTGATCCAATTAACTTTTTTCAACAATTGGCAACGCTATTATTGTAAAAATATATAATTCAATGTAAATATTTTCAGTATTTTATTTATATTGTAGTAATAGAGGGTTTTAAAAAAAAAAAGTAAATTTTTTTTTGCGAAATTTGCTTGAACTTGAAAAATCATAACAAAACATTTCGTTTAAAAATACTTCGTATTTCTTTATTTCATTAGGATCACATGTCACTTTTTCTAGAAATTTTTCAAAAAAAAAATCTGCTTCCCAATTTTACATCCGCCACTGTATGCAAGTTGAAAACTATTCAATAAAGCACACATTATTACTTATACTGTTATGTTATGTAAGTGTAAATGTGTGTATAGTAAATGCTAATACACATAGGTCCATAAAAAAACCCATAATGTTGATGATCATAAATTTCCCAAGCTTTTCTTCGTTGTCTCCACATATTTGATCTAGTACTATTTGCACACCAACATATTGGTGCCTAATTCATGAGCTTCTTAAGCAATCTTCGGCAATTACATACATACATACATTCCTTATATATATATCACATATACAAATGATCGTGTATAAACTCTCGATAAACAAATTAGATATTTATGTATTGTATACTTAAATATATTTATGCATTTCTTTAGTATGTATTACTTATGGGTACTGATTGTCTGTTTACTTTTGCACGCACTGTTTATTTAAAGATGAAGTAATTACCTCTTCAAATGCGTTGCGTTCACAGTAAATCTATTCGCAAATAGAAAATTTGTGGGATTTGAATTTATGACAATTTGGATTGAATAAATATAATATTTGACAGCAAGATTAATAGTGTACGAACTGTTGAATCATAAAGATGAAGGTCACAAAAGCGATTACCGACATCCACATGAAGTTATACATGTTGAAATCATTTAAAAGAATTTCATCCAAATCTCACTGATCCTAGATTAATAGGGTATTTTAGTCTAGATAATTTTGAAAGTGTCTTAAAAAAAGGCATTCAATTTTTTTACGATCGATTTTTTTTATCAGTTATTTATTAACGTTACAAGAGTACAGAAAAAAATTAAAAAGTAAAAAAAACTTAAAATTTTAAAAAACTGGCAGCTGATGAAGTGGGAGTCTCAAAAATTGGCACATGAGCATACCCATGATTGCAACCCGCCTAGTCATCTGAAATGAAAAAAAAAGATTCTCAATCTGCAATGATGTCGCAATTGTATGAACTAGCGATAAGTAAAAAAAAAATTATTTGAAAAAATGGCGACTGTTTGAAAAAAAAAACGATTTTTTTACCATTTTTCTTATTTTCTCTTATTTTTTTAAAATAGTAAAAATTGAAATTTGGGGATTAGGCTAGTTTATACTCGAGAGAGATCTATAAAGAAGATTATCTGAAAATTCAAGTAAATCGGTCCAATAGAACTCGAGAAATCGTGGGTATCGCATTGAAAAAGTCTGGTCTGAGAAAAACGCATTTAAAGTTTAGCGTAAATTCTTTTGTTTGATGAGACCCAGCGGAACTATTTTGGAGGCCGGGTCAGTAAATGTCTTTATCTTGAATAGTTAAACTTTAAAAATATGAAAAAATCTAATTTTTTTGAAATTCTACACCAGAATACACCCTTAAGTATTTTTTCTCTCGGAGAATTTGATTGCAAACTATGAATGGTCTTATCTATGAACATAGACAAAATTTATAGGAAGAAAGAAATCTTCAAGCAAGACTGAGTTGAAACTGAGGAATCACTGGACGATTATATTATAATCTAATAAATAATGTAACCATTGTATTTGTTAACAACACATATTGACTACAAACTAAACAGTGGAAGTAATTTAAGTCTATTAATAAGTAACAGACAATTTATAGATTCCCATCTTTGAGCTTCTGCGCAAACATTAGTGGCAAACAAGTAGTTAATCTTTTGTTGCGGGTTAATTTGACATGCGGCTCGTGTATATCGGCAAATTGCTTCATCTTTTGGTATATAGTTGGCAGTTAGTACTTTGTAAAAGCTCATAAATTTGTATGAAACATCTCATCTGTTATTAGGGTGTTCATACTGAATTTATAAAGCAGTCAAAGCTAGTTATAATTTTAATGACGAAAGCGGTTTACTGATTTACCTGCGGGATTTTTGGACAACCATAGAAAAATATATTTGACGAGAGAGTTAAAAAACATAAGTTATCATTGAAGCATACTCTTTCGTGTCTCTTTTTAAAGTTAAAATATCTTTAACCTGGATTGCTATGAGTAAAAATTCTTCAGCGCAGCGGTTTCCAGCCTAGAAAAAGAAGCGACACTATTGACAGCTATAAATTTGAAATATTGAAACATTTTGTCCAGCATAAATCCATCTAAGCCTGGATCTGAAGCGCAGAATATCACTTGCCAACAGGTGCTATTGAGAAGCATATCACTCTCTCGACAAACAAAAATTACGGTCTATAAGCCTTTTATCATTCCCGTGCTATTATACGGCGAAGAAACATGGACGATGACGAACCGAGATGAGAAAGTACTTGTAGCAGACGAGAGAACTGTTTTCCGCAAGCTCCTGTTGTGAGTGCTGAGTAAGGAATTTAGGCCAAGATGTTAAACGCATTCAAGACGATGTTCCAGCGAAAAGCTGTTCCGATTCGACAGTCACGGTTGTAGTGTCAAAGAAGCAGAAGTAGAGGACTCTCCCGAAACTTTTTACAGTTATTTTTATGACTGAAGACAAATTTCTGTCACTTTTAACTTTATACATTTCGAAGCAAAGAAAGGTTGCCTACCATCAAAACCTCAACCGCGGTAGAACTCAATTGTTTTGGAGCCAGTAGATTGGTTAAGGAAGTAAGCGAAATAGGTATATGGCTGAACGTTGTCGACAGGATCTCTTTACAACGCTGCAAAAGGGTGCATATAGCTTTGATAACATCCGTTAAAAAGCCATTTTGAGCGACTTGACCAGAAACTCTTAGACGAACACAGCGAAGTTAGACACCAAACCACGATATCAAATGAAGCGATTATTACGCTGTTTTGGCGAGATTTGTTTTAAAGTAACGATAAGTATTGGAAAAAAGTGAAAAAGTGTGTCTTGTGAGCTGCTTGATAATTAATTAGCCACCTTAACCCATGTTGCATGAACGCATAACCTTACTTATGAATATTCTCCGACATAAGTATACCCGCATATTTGCATAAATGGTTATATGCGCCGAGTTGAAGGCGAAGAATGCCGGCAAACAATGCCCAGCATACTCGCTTTGCACGCCGATTGGGGTTTGGCTCATTAGAGTCTTTTTAGCACGTAAATATGAAAAGCGGTACGCATGGTAGACCGGCTAATTACCATTGTCAGCATACTTGCAGTAGTGTTGACTACTTTTAAACGCACAGCAACACTAGCATGAATATTAGCATCAATGGATGAGCCATATCTATACATATACATATATATGTACACATAGCTATCTAATTCATTTCGGACTGCTCGTATTTTGTGGTTGTCTGATAGCATTTTGTTGCTGTTTTTAGTTTTTGGTTTATTTTGGAGGGCGGCTCACTCTCGATTTCATCGCTTCATTGATTGTGCAGCCAAAACGCGGAGCTTTTTACGGCTCCGAAATTGAAGGTCGCCATTGTTTTGGCACCTCACTTGAGTTGGGGTCGGCTGGCTGCAAGGCGTTTTAAGGCGACAACGGTTTGCCGCGCTATTGGTTTTTATGATTCTCATATTAATAAGGTGTGAAATTTTAGCAGAAAAAATACCAAAACTACGCATCGTTCAACCTGTTGCCGGCACATAAGTGAGCATGAGATATTTATAAATAAATAAAACTGCAAATATACAAATTTATGTGATTGCTAACGCACATAATGTTGCAGCAGTGCATAGGTGTGTGTCCAAAATATGTTTGTATGCTGCTTTCATGTGTCTCCGATAAATGAATTAACAACCTATTGCTCAGCCAAGATCAATAGTTTTCACTTATGCTGGATTTGCGAAATATTTCAGTTTTCATAAATTATGAGCTCCTCATTTTAGGTCAGCATAAATATTTAAGTGCATACATATATACTATCTATCGAAGTTTGGTTTTGGTCATTTATATATGATTCCAAAAAAAAAGAAGTCGTCATATGTAATGGCACTTTGCTGGTAGAAGGCTGCGCAGCCAAGCATAGGGGTCATTAAATTGTTATTACGTTAAAATAAGTAACGGATCTACGTAGCCTGAATGGATCGAGTATATGTTATCTATCTAAAATCTATTGACTCGGTAGTTCCTTCCAAGTTCATTTCTGAAATGTTTTCTGTTTCTACAACAACACAATTAAGCAATATTACTTATCTTCCAAGCTACTTTATATAAATCTGTTAGCTATTAGTCTTAATTTGTTTCCAAGAGTAGGAGAACCATTGGACCTTGATATAAAACCAGAATTTGACGAAAACTTCCAGAAAACTTTTTGAGCTTTTCTGTAAGCTTTGTGAAAGCGAAAAATTCGGGCCTTTAGTTGTCTAAAATAAAAATGTCTAACATTTGCGATCATCCCGCTTTAACAAGACTTATGGCTGATTCACATACAACTTTTACATCGCTTTGCTTAAGATTTTTACTTTGACAGAAAAAGAAAGAAAAACAAGAAAAAACGTTAACTTCGGTTGCATCGGAGCTATAATACCGTTCACAAAAACAAAAGGCTCCTTAGAAGAACTTGATTCCGATCATTCAGCTTTTCTGACAGGTATATGCTTTGTGATTCGATCTAAACAATTTCTTCGGAGATTCCATTATTGCTTTGGATAATAATTCGTTACAAATTTGATGAAGATATCTCGTCAAATGAAAAAGTTTTCCATGAAAGCACTTGATTCTGATAGTTCAGTTTGTATGGCAGCTATATGCTATAGTGGTCTGATATCGGCAATTGCGACAATTGAGCAGGTTCTTGGTGAGAAAAGTTTATATGCTAAATTTAAGATTTATATCTCAAAAACTAATTCTCGTATATACAGACGGACGGACGGACGGACGGACCGACAGACAGACAGACGGACATGGCTAAATCGACTCAGCTCATCGCGCTAATCATTTATATATACATTAAGATCAGAAAGTTTCCGGAAATTGTTGGTCCACAGTACTCTTTATTGACCGTCAATGGACATGGAACGAATTCATGACGAACCAAACCGCGAACATCGAAAAAAAAAAACAAAACTCAAGTTACCACTCCGTAGAACCTATTTCGACTCGATCGAGGCCGTAAACGAAAATTCGTAGAGGAAACTGAAGGCGATCCCGGACCCGGTCCTACAAGGCATGTTTTGATTATTGGAAAAAGGCATTGGCATATGTGTATCGCTTCAGGAGGAGCATATTTTGTAAGCGAAAAAATAAATATTGAGGAAGAATAAAAATTTTTCATTTTATTTACAATTTCCGGAAACTTTCTGGTCTTAATTTGTACTATATAGAGTCTGCGGCATTTCCTTCTGGATGTTACAAACTTCGACGCGAGCTATATATATACCGTGTTAAGGGTGTAAAAAAATATATCAAGTGTTGATGACCTCACTTTTTGTGGGGTTTTCACATGTCTTATTTTGTTTATCTATGAAATGTATACTTTTTGCTTGCACACGACAAATTCTGGGTATTTTATTATGGTGTGTTTGTCAACTTACAGTTTAAGCCTAATGCCTATGGCTAATAGATACTATATAAGAGGTTTATCAAATGAATTTAGCAAGAAATATAGATGTGTGTGTGTGTGTGTGTGTACTTCTAAACACGCACTTAAACAGTGCCAAAAGTAAAGTTTGATAAGGTGCTAAGTGTTTGCTCACACAAAACATCCCGGATTATATTATGTATCCATATATGTATTACATATGTGAATGCCAAAATCTTTCAAGAAGTAAATATGAAGCTCCAGTGGGACTAGTGAGATTGAATAAATCAATATTGAATTAGAAATAGTGGCTAAACCGCTAAAGCAGAATTGGAAGTCAGCTAAGTGATTGAGGTTATGCTATTATATATAAGTATATTACTTAAAGGTTTTCTAAAGATTTACTGTTTAATAAGTAAAGCAAAAACAGCTTTTAAAAAGAACATACTCTATTCAAAACGTTTTCTTCTCAAAAATTGAGTGAAGTAATGTTTGGAAAATGCTATTTCTAATATTCAAAAAAAACTTAGGTAGTTTTTTTTTTTAATTAAAAATATATTTATTATTCGCTTTTATACTGAACTCATCGTTACAGTTATATATATACAATTCCTGAACATCAATTACGTCACATCGGTTTTTCGTTTTTAACTAGCACCAGCCTTCTGGACCCAAAGGCCCCAAACCACCAATACTGCCGCCGCCAATTGCACCACCACCAACAACACCACCGTAGCCCAGACCAACACCGCCGCCATAGCCATAACCGTTTCCATAGGTGGCGCCATATGAGACCGGAGCAGGAATTGGCGTTGAGACGGCTGTCACAACAGGCGTTACAACCGCCGAAGTAGCTAATGTAGGGTAGCCTACACCACCACTCGCATAACCACCATTGTAAACGCCACCGCCATAGCCATAACCACCAGTGCTGTAACCACCAGTATTGTAACCACCACCGTAGCTGCCACCGGGCACCACAGACACCTTTATCACTTTGACGATATTTTCGCGACTATTTGAGTATGGCGTAATGCCGTAGCCACCATAACCGCTATTATAACCACTGCCGTAACCATAGCCGCTACCATAGCCTCTGCCGTAGCCACCGCCGTAGCCACCACCGTAGCCACCACCATAACCAGGACCATAGCTAGGACCGTAATTGCCATCACCAACACCACCGCTTACGCCCGCGAGCAGCGCCAATTTACCGAAAGTCGCTTGACCAGGCGCTATGAGTGCGATGAGTGCAAATACAACAACAAATGTCCTCATTTTGTATAATTGTTTATGTAATCCTTTCTTGTGCTTCTAGTTATGTCACCGCTGTGTAGAACTCGACTGTTGCTGTCCACTGACCGTCCACGCTCATTTATACACATATGCCACACGCTAAGCCATCGACCGTTTTGTCTCCTAGCCAGAAACAAAGCATGTATTGTTCTATATAAATTTGACCATGTAATAAGATTTAACAACGGCATCCAACAGTTTTAGCGGAGCTTTAGTAAATATGTTTAAATTTTCTCAGGCAAACAAGAAACAAATAAAAATCTTCGAACGTCCAGTGTCTTTCCCTTGATTCTTAGGTTAAAACTTCTTGTTGCTGTTAGTATTTTTGTTGTTGTTCTCGTTTTAAATGGAATTAACGCTTTCGCTCGCAGCGCTCTCTTTGAGCCATAACTAAACGGTTTATGCATTTATTTGAACAGTTAAGTGCGATTTCTTTTTGTTCTATATTTATTTTTTTCTATTTGCGTTTTTTTTGTCTGTCACTAAACTAATTGTTAGCTCATTTGCAAAATTATTATTTTATGGCGAGTTCTCTTTGATAAAAAGTTGTGAACTTTAGGTATAGCAAGACGTTTTTTGGGTAAAATTAATTTCGTTTATATATTGTAATATAATAAAATATTCACCATTGCCTTTTTTATTGTATAGAAATGCAGCCATCGTTGACTATAATGTTCAAATATTATGCACTCAGCAGTTAAAATGGCAATACATCTAACTGTTTTCTTTGTTAATTTGATCCACTGAATGCAGAATGCAGCAATCGCTTTCGCTTTGGGTTTTCCAGTAACAAAAAAATTTGCTATTTATACAGAATTTCTATTATATTTACTTTTTGCAATACTCTTACTCCACTTTTATTGTTGCAAACCTGACGCAAATTACAACTGCACCCTCTTCCAGCATGTCACTTGATTTAATTTTACTAAGCAGTTTTCCTCCATATCACAATTTTTTCACATACTTCCACCCAAAGCACCGCATATGCCAAAAAGCCACAGAATATGGTAAATATTTTAAAACCCAGTGCACACGCGATAATCACTAATTTTCCATTTAATTTACTTCTTTTATATTAAGCGCAAAAAAAACTAAACTATTCACATTATTAAAACTTAATTAACAATTTTCACTTATTTAAATAAAATTTACACACAAACTAACGGAACTGGAAGAAGTGTAGAGGAAATGGCGTAGGAAACTTGACAGCTCGAGGGTTGCATTTAAATACGAAATTATTTTGCGTGAACAACAGTTTTAAACATTTTTTTTAATCTAATTTAATGTTTAAAGTTTCTTAATAAATCATAGTCAGTATGAAAAAATGTTAACCTAAAAACTTGGAACAATATTGCTATTTATATGTATGTACATGTTGTGATGCAAAATGTTGAAGTATGCATAGTTAGGCCAATAGTGTAAGTATGTGGGGAGGTACTTTTTAAATATTTATCTATAAATTCATCACAATATGTTTAAATTGCCACTATTATAACTGCACGTATTACAGAGAACGTATATGATAGAGAAGGTTCATGGTGTGCCGATTGTCAAAATGTTCCTCTTGACGGAGGGTTACTCGCCAACTTAAGAGGATCTCACCTCAAACAAATTATAAGCGGATTTCACCAAAATTTTACCCCTGCGGAGCGCAAAATAGCAGAATTGAGCATTTTGAATGTTAAATGAGAAAAATAATGCTAAATTCAATGTTAAGAAATGTACGCCAACAGATTCGTATATTTACAATGCGCAAACGAATTTATATATAATTTTAAGATATTCTGCATATACAGGGCGGCTCACGAATCGTGCTACAAAAATTAACCGTAATAAGTTTCTTTTTATCAAACTTTGTTGTATTGTATAGAAAATTTTAATTTTATTTTATACAATTAATTATTCCTTCATGCTCAGCCATGCATATTGGACACCTAATTAGAAAATTAATGCGGGCTGGAGGGTTCAAGTCGTTTCAAATATCTATTTAATGGACTGCTTCAGTTCAGTCAGATTTCTGGGTTTGATTTTGTACTCCTCTTGCTTGACATAACCTATAAGAAAGACCAGCGGTCGCAAATATTCTATACATATATATGTAAGTATATGTATGAATTATGTGTATGTAAACAAATATGAAAGTACCATTATAATTGTTAATTTGTCTATATGCAACGTATGTATGTAATATGTACACTCATTGTTTCATGCGAAATCTCCGTTGCCACGGACAACCAATGGCCGAAGCTCACGTTTTTTGTTTTCTTGTCAAAGAGTCACTGTGTCGAAGGACTGACGCGACGACAAAGCGTCACAACATTGTGTTGTTGGTAGAAAATCCGAGCTGTGCCGAAAAAATATTAACGAACGGCCGCCGATTGTCACCGCTTCCCTTGCCGCTCTAACAGCTTTGCCCACAAACTATCGTAAATATGTATGTTTATATATGAGCATGCATACATATTGACGCAGATTTTTGTCAGACACGGAAAAATATTTTAAAATTGTAAAATATTTTAAATCGACAAAAGCTTTGTTGCCAGTTTTGTCAATTTTTTCTGTGTTTTGTGGGCTTGCGTGGTTGCAACTTTTCCCTTCCAGAGGGAATATCAGAAATTTGTTCAATTTATGATTTTTAGCTTTTGCCATCGTCGCGAAAAGATGCTTGTTGGCAAACGCATACTCGGGGAGATGAGAGGGTGTCTGTTTTTATGAATGAAGCGAGGTTGCTTGTTGAAAGTTCGCCTGCATTCATGAATGAAAATGTTGTTGTTGTGTAATTTACTATAAATTTGGGCTTCGCCTATTTGGCTGACATATTGACTTGTGACGATTGTTGTTTTGTAGAACAATGTTTGTAGTTTTTGCGGGTGACTATTTACATGTGTACGCACACACATATGTAGGTTGGTTTGTGTATGCATTATCTGTTCGGCAATTTTATGTAGATATATGCGTGTACATATAAATCAATGCGCGCACATATAGTGTATGGATAAGTGATAAAATCATGATTTGACTTTCTGATGCGTACATTCAAATACATACGTACATCATATGACTATTAGATTAATATGATAAAATAGTACATACATACTATATTGTAATAAATTTAATCTCTATTATTTAGTAAAAACTAAATAAAATTATTAAATGCCCAAATTGACTATAATATTATTTCGAAATTCCATAATTTCTAGATCTTATCAGTTTTGCATGCATTCATAAAATTCGCATGAATATTCATATCAATAAATATGATTGCATATAAACGTATAAGAATATAAGCCAAAAGGCTAACATGCAGCTGTAATATCAAAGCAAGTCTCTGAGCATAATTTTCATACAATGCTCAGCTCTGTTCACTCTCCACTGTTAAAATTTCTCCTTCCGAGCCAAAAGTGGTGAAATCCTCTATTAAAATCTTGTTAGGTTTTGACAATTCACACGCTGGTCCGCAATTGAACCTTCTCTATGATATACGTTCTCTGCGTATTATTATAAGTTTCTAGTGATGCTCATGAAACACAGCTCGCGCACATTCTTTTATGTTTGCTTATACTTTATATTTGAAATACAACCCTGCTGATAGAACAATGTGAAGCAAATGAAAGAAAACGTCACAAGACATCAGCAGAGCAAGAAAAACATCATTTATCTAATTAGTTTTGATACAGAAACATTAAGAATTCATAAAAATTAAATACTGTGGTCCATTAAATATTTTTTGTGCAAATTCAATAGATTGGAAATTCGCGAGTAAAGCAGCTGTTGAGAAAATACAGCATTAAAGTGAGTAGAGAACGACCTTCGTGAGGTGAACGCCTTTGCAATTTTTTCTAAGTAAAATTGTGAAAAAGTGTTATTGCGATAATACGCCACATATTTCGTAGCTGATAAGTTAATACAAAGGCTTTGCGAAAAGAAAAAAAGCTGGTGGAAAGCTGGTGCAATAATTCTTACATATTGGAAATAATTTGTGTGAACATAAAAACAAGCGAAAATTGTAATAACAAAGGCAAAGTACATGACACAGCTGGGCGAACAAAAAACACCACACAAAAAAAAAAAAACATGAAGCTAGAAAAGGAAATACTATTACAGGTGTCGATGGGGGATTTGTAGGAGGTGGCGCACATTAATTGACGCAATGACGTTAGGGTAGTAGTGGTGCTGATACGGTCGTATGTATATGGGTTAGGGGCATGTGATGCGGAAGAATGTAGTGAACAAGCTAACATGTTAATTATCCGATGCGAATTACACGTCAGTGTATTCTATCAGCAGTTTATTTTATTCTAAAGTGCATAGAAGTTCAGCTTATGACTTGAAAGAAAGCAGGAATTCAAAAGTCGTGATAAGCTATATATTTAGGTGAGTGAAAGCAAAAATGAAGTACAACGCTACGAAAAAAAAACAAAAAACTTTCAAAAAACAAAAACTAGAGCTAAACGTAATCAAATTTGTTATCACGTTGCGACACTTGTATGATGGACTATAGCACCCAAAGCAGATTATGTTGAAAATTGAAAAATATTGTTCTTATCTCTTAAGCAGATCAAACATAAATCTCGCAAACAAATATTTACAATACACGTGTGTATATATGTACATTTATCATTAAGCAACAAATTTGCAAGACAGGTTCTGATAATTCTCTGCAATATGCGAATATGTCAGCTCCAATGAGGAAAAAAAAACAGTGGCCCAAGTATGCCGCAATTAAGTGCAAACTGGTTTCGCCCAGAAAACCGAAACAATATTATTGCGGAAAGCGAAATCACAACTTGTTTACTGTAAAGAATTTTCAGACGGCATATTGATATGGTTTTTTTTTTTTTTTATAAATCGTATGTTTATACAGCCGTATAGGCCGCGTGGTATTTGTTTTAAGCCTACTGGTCAAACCTTTCAGTGTTGGCAACTAATACGTACATACGTTGAATAGCACGGTTGCGAAATTGCAGTGCAAAAGTTCACTTGGTTTAGTATGTTAATATTATAGACGTTTCCAATTGGATTTTGTGTGGCTATACTTACATACATATGTATAGTATATGCGAATGTAGACTATTCGTATTCGCCGAGTGCATGTTCAACTAATATTTTTTGTTTTATTTGTTTATAAGCAGTTTTTGTTTATTTTGTTTTTCTTTCCAGCTTATTTTGCAAATTTTGAAAGAGTAGTAAACGAACGGTATGTCAACACAAACAACGCACGCCCCGTCGGCGCCGGAATTGCCCACAACATCACATGGTGAAACGTCAGCACCACCTACTGAATCAATGGACGATTGGACTTATTTCGACAACACAACAAACGATGGCACAGAACAAACTGCTACAACAACTACAGTTGAAAATATGAACTCTACCGCTGATAATGCCGCACCGAAAACTACAACTTCCACAACGTATTCGTTTCCAGGCAGCGCACTTGGCAGCGATTCCACAGCGAACATAAACAGCATTAAAACAGAAAGCGGCAGCACCAGCGGTGATTCTAAAAACAAGAACAACGAAGAGGAGAAAATCGATGATTCCATGTATGAATGTAATATTTGTCTCGATACCGCAAAGGACGCAGTAGTCAGTTTGTGTGGTCATCTATTTTGTTGGCCATGTTTGCATCAATGGTTGGAGACACGTCCAAATTGCAAATTATGCCCGGTTTGTAAAGCAGCAATTGGCAAGGATAAAGTAATACCGTTATACGGACGCAACAGCACTAAACAGGAAGATCCTAGGTAAAGCCTATGCCCACCACAAGAGAATACTTAGACTTTTATTAAAATTAATAAATAATGATATTTTTTTACAGAAATAAGGTGCCACCACGTCCCGCTGGGCAGCGTACTGAGCCCGAGCCGCAACAAGGTTTCCAGGGTTTCGGCTTTGGTGATGGTTTCCACATGTCTTTCGGTATTGGCGCTTTTCCATTCGGTTATTTCGCTTCGTCTTTCAACTTTGGTGAACCCCGGGCAGCAGGTGTGCTAATTGTTTATAAAAAAAAGTATGTTATAAATACTAACAACAACATTCGCTTCTCTTTACAGCCGCCAACCGTGGCACAGTACAATATGAAGATGAACAGCAATTATCTAAATTATTCCTGTATTTAGCTATATTGTGCATTGCTTGGTTATTGTTCGCATAGCAATACTAAATCGATTATACTTACATACCGAGATATATATTTATGCAAAGAGCCCATTTTTTAATTGTTGCTCTGTGCTTGGGATTATTAATAAGATATTCAATTATGTACATGTGTGCAATTTATTAACGAGGCATCCATACAATTGCAAAAACTTTTAACACTGTGAAATTATATTGTCGAACGAAAGAGGAAGTAATCTTAAAGAGTAAAATTATAAAAACAGTGATACCTTCAAAATAAATGTATGTAATGAATTAAAAAAAAAAAAAAACAGTAAACTGTTTAAAAGCATATTCATGATATATGTGCATGCATATCTAGCGGGATTTCGTAACATATATTTCATACAACAAATTTTTGTGACGAAACAGCATTGAAGTCAGTTTTAATTGCTCGAACAAAATTCTAGCACTTTAAATTTTTATAATTTTTTGCTCTTTTTATTTTTTAAGTGATGTTTACATTGCAACAAATTGTACCTAAATTTCTTTTAATGGATTTGTGATTAAGAGTTAAGTTTGGAGTGTGTCACTGATTTTTCCTTTTCGCGGATGGTTGTTTATTTCAAAAATAAAATCTTATAACCTCATTAGAATTACACATCTTTTTTTTTATTGCAATTTATTTGGGGTATATATGTACATATGCAGATGCAACGTCATGCATTAACTAAAGAGATTTATTGGTTCTTGTAGTCCAAATAAAGTTAAAAGGCGTGTGGAACTTGTTTTTTTTTTTTTAATCTGGCTGCTTCCGCCTTTCTTATTTATACTTATTTATGTGTATAATGCAAAGGCATATCTTATTTATAGACATTCCTTTGTTGGTACTATATGAATAAGATATGCCTTTGCATTATTCACATAAGTATAAGAAAGGAGGCGAAAGCAGACGGAATTAAAAAGAGTAAAGTATCGCTGACCCATCATAGTAATCTGTATATCTTCTTAGATATTGTTGAATATATTCAACTACATCTATGTTTCACTAAAGTTTAATAAAATGCATATTTTTTCTACACACTCAATTTTTAGAAATGTAACTTAAAGTATGCAAACATTTTGATTTAATTTACTTTTATCACATTTTCTTCACACCCAAATTCTTCATTGCAAATTCAACTGTTTTAGCTGTCAAATTTCCGCCGCCATTTCAGTCGTTAACATAAGCTTTAAATTCCGTTTTAATGTGTGAAATATGTAAATTTGCTCAAAAAAAATCGCTGCAACTTTAATTTATAGTGTGAAATAATGTAGTCGGGAAAGTTTTGTATAGAAATCAAATAAGTAATAAATGTAAGCTATGATTTTAGTGCATTTATTTGAGAAAAGAAAATTGTTTGTGTGTAAGTGTGTGCCGGCAGCCGCGAAGTGTGAGAAATTTAAGTTCCGTACATATGCCAACTAATTACTTTGTTGATTTAAAAGCAAATTATGCAAAGCGTAAGTAAGGTAAGTCCCAATCATTGATATTATATTGTATTTGTTATAAGCAGAATGTGCAAGAGAACTTTTGATTATAATAGTACAGGTAAGTTTAGGTTAATTGCTGCGGTTTTAGTTTTGAATGCGTCTAAAATAGCTTTTACAATTTGTGAGTGGCACTTTAATGATCCTGCAACAACAACAATTAATTTGCTGCTTTAGATGTAATTTCGGAAGTATAAATAATCGAGCGAAATTAGAGAAATTGAAGCACTTAGTATTCAGTGGATGTTTGTCTTCTCAATTAGAATTCAATAAGCGCAATAATGACAAAAATTAGAAAATTTTAAAGAAATATAAGTATATATTAATAATGATTTTGATACAGAGTAGCTGAAATTTTTATCGTCTTGAAACAGTACCAACTAATACAAACAAATAATATTACATATGTATATATTAAATGAAAGTTAATTAAATTTGTTTTGTTTTTGTTTTTGAAATTAATTACCAGCATAGTTAAATCTCGTTATTTTGCATTTATCACTAAATAAATAATAAATATTACTAAAACTTGTATTTTTAATGGTTTAGCATATTTATAGTACATATGTATGTCGATTCTTTGTGTTTAGTGTATGATACTCTTGGGAGAAGAGGTGGAAATGAAAAATTTGAGAAATATAATTTGCTGGTAATTACATATGTATGTCGCATCATAGATTTGAATATTTCATTGTAAATATGTATAGTATATTAAGTGTCTAAGATAAGCTGTGTTAAATATCTTTTATCACGGGTGGGGAAAATAAATGATAGACAAGTCTTCTATGAGAAATATTTCATTCTGCTTTTATTTTCCTATTTGAAGCCTTTAATTACTACTTATTACTATCTTAAATAACTAAATATATGTGTATGTCCGTATGCATGTAATACATTGTTTTTGCTGCATGATAAGGCGTTGTTTTCAAGTGCACGTCTTTATTTGTAATCAATTGCCTAAATGTATATCTTAGGTCAACAAGTTATCATATGAATTTATCTTAATCTAGGTAAATATGTTTGTATTGTTATTGTTGAGTGCATGTGTATTGCATATAAAAGCATATATGCTTATGTGTTTGTTGATGTACATGTATGTATGTATGCCTATTAAATATATTTGAACATACATATTTAAGATTAGTGGACTGTATTTGTTCTTACATGTTTCTTATCTTATCTCATTTGATATTCTTGGCATGTAGAATAATAAAAACTAAATGTATTGCTGCACAACGTCTAAGTGCGGCCCTTTGGGAGCAACGCACATGTTTTATTTTTGAACATTAAGTGTAAATATTAGGTAGAATTCAAAAAAGGTATCGGACATTACACTTTTTGCTTAATAAATGCAACAAAAGCAACGAGTTAATCTATAAAAACACATATTAACATCAACAAATACTTATACATGTGTTTACAAGCCCACATACTTGTATGTTAGAATTGTAACTGAAAAATACTATAACACTTAATACCAAACAGAAAACAGTTTCAAAAGGGTTAATAGCTTTTCGGGTAATATGACAAAAACGAATAACAACAACAATTGGGCATAACAAAGCTCTGGTAAATATTCACTGTTATTGGTATTAACATATTTGCGGCATTTCTGTGTAAATTTGTAGCCACTTATTCCCATTGTGGCCATTGTAATGGGAATTTCAATGCGAATTTTGCTTATAGTAAAATTTTTTTTTGGAAATTTATGCAACATATTTGGGGTTATATTATGTGCACAGTGTGGGTATGGGTGTTGGAAAGAAATTTTCCATTTTGCCTTTTTTATATGGCGTACTATTATATTTCGCTGTGTGGTTGGTTTTTTAAATTTAGTTTTCATAATTTCAGCAATTCTTTTCAAACAATACTACTTTATATATTCATGTTCTCTTAAGTATTTACCGATTTTTTTCTGAAACTTTGTAGTCTGATTTTGAGAATTAAATGCTTTGCCGTTAGAATGTCTTTAAAGTATAATCTAAATATTTTTAAGTATTTTTAGTTGTTAAGTTTAAAAAGCTGTATTTAAAGCTTTATTTACTAATAGATCAGGGGCGATAATTGAAAGCCCCAAAAAATTATAGTAATTCATTAGAAAAGGAATGTAAAATTACAAGAAATGTAAGGAAAAGTAATTTACGGGAGCTCTGAAACCGGAAATAAGAAGGGGGTGGCAGAATTTTTAAGTGTTGAAAACAGTTTTTCTCGATTACCGGTAAAACTACGAGTTCTATAGAAAAAAGTGCAAGGGCAAAGTTGTAGGAAATAAAAAAATATACTACTTTTGTATTAACGAATTTTTCACATAACCTCACAATTTATGTGAAAAATTCAAGTAACCAAGTTTTAATTTTTTATTATTATCTTTTATAAAAAATTTTTGTTTTCTAAGGTTTAAGGTTGAAAATTAAAAATATACAACTTTTGTAACCTCACAATTCATGTGAAAAATTCAAATAACTGAGTCATGTTTTTTATATCTATCTTTTACAAAAAATTTTGTTTTTTAAGAAATTTAGTGTGAACATACCCTTTTATGTACCAAGCATAGCGTACTTTTTTTTAATTTAAAATATTTTTTTTTTTCACCTTATTTTCACGTAATTCGGAAAAGAACACTAATTTTCTATCGAAAACGTTTACATCAAAACATCCGTTTTTTTTTTTAATTCGGTAGGCTTTTTCTTCTCTGAAATAGCTACTTTATGTTGGTATAAAAAATATATCTAATTTTTTTTTTTTTAATGCTATGAGTTTTTGTCATTTTCAAAGGTTTTAATACTGGCCTATACTCGCAAATAAATTGAATAGCCCACAACAGCTAAGCTCAATAAGTGAGGCTAGCATCTAGTACATTAATCATGTTTTGACATATACTAATATACATATATATGTGCAATGAATTATGCATTAAAGCCGATTGCCTGGCAACTATCTGCTTTTGATTTGAAATTTAATATTTTATTGCAACTTTTCGCAGCTACCTTTGATGATTTGCGTTTTACGCTTAATTGGCTTATAGATTATATAGTTAGGCAGCCATATGTATATATGTATGTGCCGCATATTGCAGTTAAGTGCCTTTCAAGTAAAAGTGATGAATTGTTTATGCAAATTCTTGCTTGGTTGCGTCGTGCAAAAGCTTTGAACGAGCTTTGCTATTTCTGAATTTCGAAATTTTAGTGAATTTTGACATTTGATAAGCTCTTAAGTCGGGGTCGCTACGTTAAAGTTGTTGACATCAATGCATGCCAACAGCGACTTTATCCCACACGCACAGCAAATATTTTGCATATTCTTTTTTTTTTTTAAAGAAATTCCTCTACGCATAATAAATTTTCCTGGGAAATTCATGAATAACAAATATTCCGTATGCATAACTGTGTGTGTTATGAATGTGTGATATGCATATGACATTAATATGTAAGATGTACGCACAGGAGCGTCGTAAAGCGGGTTGTGGTTCTCTCCTTGCAAAAAAAATATATTTTGAACAAAAAATATATTTTGAACAAAAAATATATTTTGAACAAAAAATATATTTTCGAAACTCTTTCTAGATCAATTATCTTACAGATATGTCGTTAAAAATATATATTTACTAACTTAGTTGTGAACATAGATCTCTGAAAATCTCACGATATTTTTGAATATGATGAGTTAAATTATGTCACGAAATAATCAGAATCAGAGAAAGAACTGTTTGAGGTGTATGTGCAAAAAACTTACCGTGTGTAGAATAAAATACGCTCCAACGTCTTTTTATGATATATCTTTTATAGATTTTTTCAATGGCAGCCATTTCAGCGATGTTCCAAAAATAATTGCTGAAAGCAAACATGTAAACCTCCTAAATTTGTCATTCCATCACCTCCCGCCCCCCACCAACCTATAACCTACCTACGCCTTTGTATAATATATTGAATTGCTGTTGCTATTCTTCAGCTGTGAGTGTTCTTTCCGTTAGCACGTTTGACTTCTCTCTCAGTCGTTGTGGTTGCTTGTAATGACATTTGATGTGTGGTAAACAAAATTTTATTATTTTGTCAGTAAAATTCATTATTCCTTGCTGCTGCTTAATATATATTGCACTGATATACTCGCCAGCAATTGAATGTATGATTTACG